AATTTCCCTGTGTCTGCCCAACCTAATTGCCTCATTTTTCTCCTTCTCTCTCTTTTGAGCCCAGGAAGTGCCCATCTTGCTTCATTCTTTCCTACTACTCATCCTTTCCGCTTTGGAAACAGATCTCCTTGTTAAGCACTTTTCCACAGCATTCATTTTGTGGTTGATAGCTGGTCTACACAATACCTTCAAAACGTAGAAAGGGTTACACAAAATCCTTGGGTTGTTTTGTTACAGCGCATTTATGTGTATTGATACAGTACACCTGAACAACTGAAACTTAAGCTGACCATATAGAATTATAGTATATTACAGTATATTTTTTTCTGAACCAGCATTTATACTGAATCTCTTCTCCTCAGGTATACATTTTTTTAACGTTGGAAGCAGAGTGAAGTGACATCCTAGAACTATTTCTCAGTGAAAGCTTTCAGATGAATTGTCAATATCCCACATAATGTGCAAAAAAGTAGTGTAATTAACTTCTACGTATGGCAGTTACATACCATAGCACTGCTAAGAATGCATGAACTGCATGCAGCTAATAAAGACCAACCTTTATGAATGGCAGTCAAGGTTAATGAAAATACAGTATGATCATAAATCTGTTTTCTAGACTTTCCCCTTAACAAAGCAATGTTCTCCTCCTATTGTGCTGTCCAAAGAAACCTCATTCTTTGAGATTTCTTCACTCTAACATCAGTTTCCCCCCTCAGATTTATCTTTCTCTGTGTGTGAAATTGTGCTGCTGAGTATGTCGTCTGGGTACTTTTACAGGCTTTTCTCTTTTCCTCCTCAGCTTCATTGACTAAACTGTATAGACTTCCAACTGTAGAGAATACACGTGAATGCCTACTGATGGTTGTGATTGTCAGAGATGGGCTACTTAAACTAATTACTTAATAGCCTAATTCAGGATGGCATATCTCTTGAATAAATGAAGAAAAAAATCGTGACAGCTGTGCTTTGAAAGGGTTTTGTGATACCGTGAATAGAACGTAACTGACAAGTCCATTTCCCATCAGTATTAATATTTTGTTTCCAGTCTCCTCTCCACTGAGACTTTGATTTCGTTGTTGTAATGTTGACATACAAGGAATACGGTAAATACAATGCCAGGGATATATAGGTGTTGTAGGTATGGGGCAGCAGAGAAGTTGTTGTCTATGTTATTTTTGTTCTTCCCTTCCCATAGCAGTCGTCAGCCAAACAGGACTCTGCAAGTGCCCGTAATTCACGCGAAAATGGTGTATTTGGAGGTAACCTAAACATGCATAGCATTCTGCTATTGATGTGCTTTTCTTCAATCTTGTAAATGCAACGCTAAGAATACTTATGCATATATTCTAATACCTTTTGAAACAAAGTTGCAGTTACCTTCAATTTAATACCATCTTCTTATTCTGTCTCTGTTACATGATCAGTGCACAGCACATTTGTAAAGCATACTCTGTGTCTTAGGAGAAAAACTTCCTACTCATTACCAAATATGCGCTCTGATATTCAGTGAGACATATTGTTTAAACAAGCACAGTTTGTAACTTATTTGTCATACTTGCCTGTTGTTTTTTTAGTAATATAAATATTCATATTGAGCAAATCTCATTCTCTGTCTTAAGTGAGCCAGAAAGAGATTTTGCCCTTCTAGGAAGGGGAAGTGGTATGTTGGCTAATCATGAAGAAGCTGCAGTTGCATCTTTTATAGATCAGATCCTTAGCTAGTATAAATAGGTGTAGCTTGCAATATGTACATGCTGGAAAAATAAGAGCTCCAAAACAGAACCTTATGAATAGGATAAAATCGTCAATAGTAAGTGTCTCCTAGGCTTGAAAGCAACATACTGAAAATGGCAACTGCCTAGGGATGAATGGCCATGAGACTTTCAAAGGAGCTGTACCATTTAAGTAAGTTTTATCTACTTACAAAAACACCGTGCAAGGCTCTTGTTCGAAGCTCTTATACTGGCCGTAACGGCAGTAGAATGGACTGGCACCATGCTGCGTGTTTAACGGGGAGGAGAGCGTGCTTGACAGGTTAAAGAGAAGAAAATGGTGAAGAACAAGCCTGAAGAATCGGGAGTAAGAGGTGGAAATTAGAGGGATTGCCCACCAGACTCAGGTTAATTTCAATTGAACAAATAGGCCTAGGAAATAAGTTTCTTGTTTTGCGGTAAACAGAAAGTTACAGTCAGGATGAAAGTGTTTTTAGTACAGAACCTTTCACCTGGCTAGTTGCTGAGCAAGAACGATGTTTATTTTTATAGGAAGGAGAAAATATTCCCCAACTTTATATATAAAATAACAAGTTTCTTATTTACTAACCTATATTCTCTTTCCCATTGTCCAAAGAAAGAGGGATCATATGGATGATCTTTTTGGTGCTATTAAGGATAGTAATAACTATTCCTTTTGTGGAGCAAAGAACACTGCTAATTGTCTGAGACTCCTGAAACTGCTGTTGTCGAATCCTTGCTCTATTCTTTGAAAACAGGACAAGTTGTAAGATGTGAAGTTATGATGGCTGCCTAAAGTTAATGAAATTTATGAAATTGAGACTTAGGAAACAAAAGCAAAAAGAGCTAGGAAAAATGTGGGGATGTTGGGAGGACAAAGAAGGGAAGGAGGGTGCCGTCCCTGTACTGCCTATACTGTTACAGTTCGATTGATGCTGAAGATTTAGTTGAAGTCTTGATCCTCCTGTAGAAGGGAAAGAAGTACAGGCTCCAGAGGATACTAGTTTGTCAGCTAGTCCTAAAATTTATTATTTCTTACCTACTCTGTTCCCCATCGTGATTTGCCAGAGATTTCTTGAGCACCTTGGAAAATCTAAAGGCGATAAAGACTCCTTGCTCTGGTTATTTTTCTAGCTGGCAGGTTCTGGCCATTATTTTTCTGTTACTTTTTCCTTTCATCAGTTGTGATCTTATGACAGTTCTCCTGCAATTTCTTGAAGACTCTCTTGTCTGAAATGGTTTATTAGTCTACCTCAGATTTATAAGCCACTTTTTAATAGGCTGTATTGGATGTTTAAATGCCCTACAAGAAAGCAAGCTCCACTGATTTCAGCCTAGTTGCAAAATATGGATGTTTTAAATACAGAAGGGAGTGACCTGTGACTGGGTATCTAGTGCCATTTTAGATTTCTTAGCCTCCAGCTGCCAAGAAAACAGAGGCATGAGTAACCATAGACCCTCTAGCGTATGTGCCAACCCATCAAGGATGTCATGGATACCATGGGATATATATATAGGCACCCATGTTTAGACATCTGAATTGCTCCCAGGAGATGAGAATGTCTTGCTGTAGCCAAAAGTGAAAAGACGCAAAAAGAATTGTTCTGTCATCAGTGTGATGAAATGGGTGTGTTGTGAGATTGGTAGTAGAGATCTTTTTTTTTTCACATGCCTGTGAAACTTGGTAAAGGCACAACTGGAATGCTGTGAAGGAGGAAAGTGGTATTGATATAGAAATAAACAGGGTGATGATCTCATCTGAAGGTGAATTACTTGAGCTGTATTAAACTATAGCTTCAATTGTCACATTTCTGACGAAGGAAAAAGAAATTTTGGCTTCTCTAACTTTTAAATGTAATTTTGCAGTTTACAGCAAGTGTAGCTGTACCATGTAGTGTTGGTGGCGTGCAGAGTCTTCCCTTCTATTGAGAAAGTGACTGTGACTGAACAGCCCACGTCACCTTGGCCTGCTGTAATCACACCCCACTGGGCCGTCGCCCAGCGCCTGGCCGGTCTGCGATCAGCGATGGACATCGGGGGGAAGGGAGCTCCTGTGCCCACAGGAAACAGTAGTACCCTGAAATAGCCACCTCCGTATTCTTGCATGGACTTCCAGTACTCCCTTGCGATAGCACAGACATACAGTTTGCTGACTTTGTTGTGCTACCTTAGCTCACGAGTAGTGATGCGCTTCGTTTAGCTCGTTTTGCAATATTTTGAACTACACATTGAACACGCATTCCTTCTGCACTTGGGGCCTGATCCAAAGCCTATTAAATGCGTTTGAAAGATCCACTTTACTCCAATGACTTTTGGCTCAGACTCGCTATTTCTCTGGATGCCGTTGCTTTTTTTTTTTTCTTCTTTTACTTAATGGGCTGTAAGAGTTTTTTCTTTCGTTTATAAATAGCTGCATTTAAAATAAAAGCAAGGAGGTGCACAAAGACAACCTGCATCTCTCTCTATGTATATGTTAAATGCAGCTGTTGTCACATCTATAGCATTGTAATCAAAATACTGTGGCATTATTCTGTACTCCTAATGTAGATGGTAGAATTTCTTATATATAAAATACTACAAATATAGATGAGAATTGTAATTTTGTGGAAAGATAAACAACCACAGAGAAAATAGATGATGTATCTAATGAATAAACTGATACTCTTCTAGAACTGGAATGCAAATGTATCCTTAATGCCTCTCCACTCTATAGTCTAGATGTTATCCTGTCCCCCACTACTCCTGAAAACTTTATCAGAAAGGAGAGTACAGAATTTATTTACAGCCGTCATAAGCACGTTAGAATACTAGCAGGATAGATAGTACTATAGATTTTTAAAATAGAATTAATTTAAAGAGAACGACAAAGCACACTTGAAATCTTGGAACCTACAGAATGACCTGCATATTTTGAAAGCTTTAACAAAGAAAAACCCTCCCACAGTTGCTTCAGAGGCTTTAAAGACTTAATTTTGATTTTAAATTGCCTATTTGCAGTATTGTCCTCCCACACTGCCTCGTCACGTTTTGTGTGTTAAAATACCCAATTTAAAATGAAAAGCATGCTTTTAAAGCAGCTGTGGGGAAAGGAAAAACAGTGGACACAAAAGTTCACAGAGCCTTTGGTGCTGGACTAATATCGTCATTTGAACTAAAATTGTCTGGCAAAGTAGAGCACAGTTTCAATATGGCATAAAATTGATAATTTGGATTAATACCTGATACATCTTTTATTATTGAGGACAAAATGTTATCTTATCTTTTCAGATGCAATTGTGTGGAACCAGAACATCCCAGCAATAAAACCTTACAATACTGGCAGGACTACAATATATCTGCATCTGATGTGCCATGGGGGAACCTAAGTGTGTCAGTAAGTGAAATATTGGAACTTAATAAATAAAGGCATAAGCATAAAGAATTGCAGCAAATATATTGAAAAAATACCATGTTTTTTCTGATCATATTTGTTCAAATAAAGCATTAAATATGCTTAACTGAACAAAGATTAACATAGACTTTGTAGCATTATCTCCTTTTGCAGCCTTTGATAGTACACATTAAAGCAAGCATGTGCATTTTGTGCCCTGCTTTGGAAACTTCCTGACAAACTAGCACAAGAGTTGGACTGAAATGAAATTTAAACATGTCAAATGACAATGGATTTGTCCTAGATTCTCCCAGATGGCAAAACCAAAGTTCCCTTTTGTAGAAAGACTCTAGAAGCATTTATTTCCCCTAAAACCTTCTTACAGCTGTTCAGACTAGAAGGGAGAGGAGGGGAGAAATTTTGTAACTTTTTCTGTTCAGTGACGGAAGGTATCTCTTCTCTAGGCCTTCAGTAGTTGTGCAATTTTTTTTCCGCGTGGGTGCGGGGAACAACCTACAAACGGTTTGGGGAGCTTGCATGGCTATGTAACTGGTTTCTAAATGGTACACTTTTCTAGGTTTAAAGGATTTATTACTTCAGGTTTGCCTTCTTTAAAGCAACATGTAAAAGTTGATTAAAATGTCATATTGAGATCACACCACCACTTTTTCTCACGAGTGGATCATTTCATTACACAAAGAGAACCGAGTGCAAAAGATGCAAAACTGAAGGGTTGTCTCAAAAATATAACTGAATTAACCCCATCATAGGCATAACCAAATGAAATGCATAAAAGCCAATCCAGTGGACTATCTCCAGCAGATACTGTTTTTTCCTTCAGAGGCAGAAACGCAGGACCAGTGTCCTCCTGTCATGAGTGAAGCAAGAGCTGCCTTCCATGGCTACTCTGTCTTGATAGCAAGGACTGCTCCTCAGTTCTGTTGGTGTGGCAACAGCAGAGAGAAAGTTGAGAACTGCTGGCCTGAGGGATTCCAGCAATCCAGAATGAATATTCTCAAAATTGCAGCACACTCTAAGAGCATCTGTGCAGGGGCAGACTCCTCCTCTCACTTTCTCAGATCTCTGACAGTGTTTTTCAGAGTACATTTGCAGCTGAGGAGATTTAAAATAACAGATTTTGTTTTAACTATAAATGTAAAAGACTGGCTGCATTATATAAAACCCTTTAAAACTTCTGTAAAAGCTTATTACTGAAACTTGAGTTTACATGGGTTGCACTATAACCGATTGACTTTTCTCATGAGCCCCTGGAGTTGTCAAAGAAATAACTGAAATTTTTCATACTTTTTCTATCTAGGACAAAACGAGTGTGGGCAAAGTGGTTATTCTGATAGTGACAAAATCCCTTTCAGTAGATATATGCTGAAATTCATCCCTGTGCTGTGCCAACATGAAAGGCCAGGCCAGGCTAGGCTCTATTTGGAGTCCCAGAATCTTGAGAATTTCTTCTGGATTTCCTGAGAATTTTTTTTCCCCATCTAAAACCTTTATTTCATCAGTCAGAAATGCATCATATTTATCCCCAGTTTACTGCTATACCAGTGTAAAAATTTTGCACTCCTTTGCCTTAAAGTCATCAAATAGCAACTGCGTTTTTTTTTAAAGCCAGCCTTTGTTTGAAGCCAAAGTTTCTCATAACATGTCAAGCCACAATATCGTGATGTGAGTCTGATGAGCCAATGACCCAGTTCATTTGATACTCAAAGATCCTGATCTGGCAGGATACTGCTGCCTGGAATCTCTGATTCTGGGATACTGCATTTCTTTTTGCTTAATTTGTGTGCAGAGATTTGGGAAGGAGAAGGAAAGGATTGTGAGTCCAGAGCTTGTAGCTCACATTTTAGAGCTCTATTTTGCTTGTTACCTTGGAATAAGTGTGATTTTAAACAACTAAGGATGGCACTGGAGAATTACTTGATACGTTTTCTACTGTATCTGCGTACTTGATTGTATATTATATGGGATAGAATTACTGTCACAGATTTTGGGTTTTGCTGCATTTTGTCATATTGCTTTAAGAAAAAGATAATTTGTGGAATGTGCTGCCCCCATGTGGTATTAAATGTATTGGTCTCCTTTTAGGCTAATGCTGTACAGTCTAAGTAGTTTTTTCTTTGATTGCTCCTCCTATGAAGTTAAAACAAAAATCAGTTCTTGAGAACGCACCAGAAGCAGCCTTACTCTTGGTAGCTTTTGAACTTGACTTTCCTCTCTTGGAAGGAATTAGGAAGTGCAAATCTGTATTTGTAAACAGAAAATAAAAAAGTGTGTTTGTTCAGTTTGAAATAAATCTGGTTTTATAGTAATGATTTTATTTATGGTGTGTCTTGGTGACTTTATAATTTAAAACTAGTTAAAAAAGATTATTTTGAGAGTTCGAGAGTTTCCCATGCAGACTAGATACAAACGTTGGGAGTTTTAATTTTTAAAAGAATAAATATCTAACAGTTATTTTACTATTTCTAGTAATACAATCTGCTTGCAATTTAGGAAAGTAATTGGAAAGAAAATATCAGTGTAAGCATGGATATTTTTCAGAACAATACTACTTTACTCTCTCTGATAGGAATGTAAAAAGTTTCATGGAGAGTTTGTTGGACGAGCTTGTGGTCATCATGGCCCTTATGTTCCAGATGTCCTCTTCTGGTCTGTCATCTTGTTCTTTTCTACAGTAACGCTGTCATCCACACTGAAGCAGTTCAAAACTAGCCGGTACTTCCCAACGAAGGTGCGTGCCATTTTTTAATTCAAAAGTTGTCATTAGTCATGTGTAAGCATGAATTCCATCTGCATTGATAATTCAGTTAACTGCTGGGGAACTGGACACTACATCTTTTCACCGTTAGAAAATTGTATCAGAATAAGCGTGGTTTTTAGCTGAAAGCACAAAGTGGCTTAGAACGGTGAAGAAAATTAAATCCTAAATCACACATGAATGTTTTAGTTAAAATTGTTGTTTCTCTCAATAACCGTAGGTACGATCTGTTGTCAGCGATTTTGCTGTATTTCTCACTATTTTGTCCATGGTTTTAATTGACTATGCCATTGGGATTCCATCACCAAAACTTCAGGTTCCAAATGCTTTTAAGGTAATTTATTGATAAATTGCACTGTTTTATTATTTTGACAAAGTAGTGCCCTATAGTGAGTTTATTACATTTTTTTTTATTATCAGGGAGTAGCAACAATATTCTGAATTTTTTGTGTTTGTACTGTGCAACCTCTCTGATTAGCAGCCCACCTAAGTGAGCTTCTCCCATTGTGATCCATGAGCTTCCTCGCGCCTTCTGTGTGAGGACCAGCCTGGCTCAAATTACCAAATCTTAGACTATTGTAATGTTCTGGGGCTCCTTCCAGGTTCTAGGCTCATTGTATCAAATATAACCAAGTCTGTAATATCCCAGATGGTTTTGTTATATGTAATTTCTCTTTTTGGTATCATAGGAAGTTCAGCACTTTTCTGTGCTCTTACACAGATTCATTTTGAAGGAAATCATATCCTAGTAATGTTTTTGTATGTATTCTTGTGAAGTTGAAACTTAAATAATCCTTAGAGTTCTGACTGGTCATGCGTGACTCTGTTTTTGTAGCCCACCAGAGATGATCGTGGCTGGTTTATTACTCCTTTGGGGCCTAATCCTTGGTGGACAGTGATAGCTGCTGTAATTCCCGCCTTGCTTTGTACTATCCTTATCTTTATGGACCAGCAGATCACAGCTGTCATTATCAACAGAAAAGAACACAAACTAAAGGTATTCAGTCAAATAGTTATATTTTCAGTGTCGTTTTCTGCTTCAGGGTATGTAATGTACCTTCATCTACTTGAGTATGCTAATTCATTTTATGTGACATAGCGCCCCTTTAAATTGTTATGCTTTTTCTTTGTCGGTCTATGTAGTACCTGTGCCCTGTGTCAGTGATGCGCTGCCTTACAGAAGTCTTTGTGAATGTGATTTGGAACAGGGATTCTCAGTCAAGACAGGGGTATCCTCTGTGCTTTGTGTGATGCCCATTCACCTAAAGTAAAACATCTGGAAGTTAGTAATTTCCTTAAGTACCATAATATTAACTGCCTCTTCAGATATTACAGAGTTGTTCTACTGGATTGGATTTTGAAAAACTAATCAGGGGTTATTTTGTAATACAAGATTATTTTTTTTCCTCTCACCATCCTACTCTGTGGTTCTACCCATCCTTTTTTGTTTGTTTGTTTTAATGCCCTTTCTATCTTAAAGAAGAGAAAAGAATAAAACTGAGCTTTAGAGGCACAATGGGTTCTTAAAACAACATAGGACAACTTCCTGCTCTGTTCTCTAACGCTTTAGTTGCCTACAGATGGAGAGAGAAAAAGGGACATCACCCCTCTGAAAAACTGTTGGGCAAAATCTAGCAGCAGGTTTCTGTACATGTATATGCAGCGAGCTTAGGCTTTTTTTTGACATACTTTTAATAAGCAGCAATCCAATCCCAAGTTGCTTTAGCAAATGCATTTGCAACCTTCACTTTGCACTGCCTCTTCTTGGATGATTGTGACATTTGATATGTTCTTTTTTTGCCCTCTTTGTCAGCCTGGCTCTTCATGTCAATCCATAGCATTGCATGTGGTTAACTTGACAGATGCAGGAATTTGCTGCCAAGCTTTGGAATGTGTTTTTTCAGCACTGGCATCTGGGAGTCAGATGGTCCTCCTGGCTGCCCCCTTGTCTTGCTGCGTTTTAGTTTTGCTGGGGTCTGGTGTAGCATCACCTGTTGCTATGCTTCCTTTTCTTCCCATATGTCAGGTTCCTCAGATCATGTATGAATGTGAGGAAATGCTCTCGGATTCTGTATGCATTAGCAGATACATTCCTCATAAATGTGTCAGAAGGTAAAAAAAGGTGTCTCTGTTAGGATTTAGAATTAAACTCTTTCTTTGAGTGCATTGTGTGTGTAACTAATATCTGTGTTTGGCACATCTCCGAGTTTGTCAAGATGTGTCTTGGAGATAAGACTCATAAGCACTTTTGGGGAGTGAGGGAAGGTTGCTAGAGTTGATTCTTTTAATTTTCTTTACTTCATATGAATTCCCCTTTTTAAATAATGTAAGCAAATAAGATGGCATTTTCATCTTGCTATGTGGCTTACATTTTCATAACCCAGACGCTTCCTATTTTAGAAGTAAAAGTTGTCTTCAGAAAGAAATGATTTGTTTGCTTCCAACTCGTTTTCCCCTCTTTTTTTATACTTCCCATAGCAAATTCTGAATAGTGCACATTTCAGTTTTTGGCAGTCTCTGTAGCAAGCCCTTCCAAGTTTAGTTTAGTTACTTTTTTTATGTCAAAAGGCATTTGCATGGGTTTACAGGCAAAATTATGGTTCAACATACTCACATTGTTTGCATGAACATCGCTGTTTTATCAGACCATGATATTGGATTTGTTGCCATATTGCAAAATTTTGTGGAGATAACAAGCTACCTGACTTCTTAAGGGAAAATAGCTTGAGCTCCTGCTTGCAGCTGTGTGGTGGTCCTGGATAGTTACTAAAATTGAAAAGAAATATCCCTCTCAGCTATGATAACAGATATCTATGCAACCAAGCTTGACGCAGATTATCGGTTGTTTTCAAGTGCAGGTTATGTTCGTGCATTTTGAAATGCATCTAAGATTTGACCAGAGAGTCTTATCCACTGCTACAAAAGCAAAGCAAAATCCTCCTGTTAGTAAATTTACGGAGTATTTGACTACTACAGAGATGATCCAAAACCAAAGGTTTTGTACTGACTTCTCATATGAATGTGTATGATACTGCTTTTAAGTATTGAATAGGGAATCCAGTAAAACGGTACCTGATGATGAATATTATTTTATAGTTTAATTTAATGTATTGCTTAATTATAGTTTAATTTATCTTAATTTCTAGCTGTCTGTTTTTAGGTAAGATGAAAGTACGTTAATGAACACTTACTACTATCACTTGCTTACCATCTGTAAAAACTTTAAAGAATTGATGTGGGTTTGTGGCCCTTTATAGCACAAACTGACTTTGCAAATGTTAACTTAAGAATTTTTGTGTAGGAAAGAATCAAAATGCCTATTTTTTTTTACCTCCTGTGTAAGGATGGATGGAGGGCCTGTTAAGATTAGTGCAGTGAAAAAGTTGGCAGTGCAGCTGAATGGTCTGCTTACTGTTCTCCACAGAAGAGATTTAGTTAAAACAGAAAATGTATGTATTTTCTATTGTCTTACAAATATCTGTTTTATAAGCAGAAAAAGTATTGGATGCACATTGTAAAGTGGATTTATGACATGAAGCATTTCTTGTGAACTAGTAGGAATGCCCCTTAGATAACCAGTTTGCCATCACTAGCGACCCAACCTGGATAAGACATAGAAGAAAGCAATTTTTTCCTACAAGTCACAAATTTTTTAATTGTCTCTAACTGTTCATTATGAATGCCTGCCAGGAGTGTTCTCCTTAATTCAGATGTCATTTTATATCTTCTTTATGTCATTACCTTTTTTAACAGAAAGGATGTGGATACCATCTCGACCTACTCATGGTGGCAGTCATGCTTGGAGTGTGCTCTATTATGGGATTGCCGTGGTTTGTTGCAGCCACCGTCCTCTCTATTTCACATGTGAATAGCTTAAAACTGGAATCAGAGTGCTCCGCTCCAGGGGAGCAGCCAAAATTTCTTGGAATCCGGGAGCAAAGAGTCACAGGGCTCATGATTTTTATCCTTATGGGCTCATCTGTCTTTTTGACAAGTATCCTGAAGGTAATTTGGGAAATAAAGAAAAGCTAAAGAATACTCCACTGCACTGAACATTTTGCTATTGTTACTGTATTATTTAATGAATGCCCTTTCCAGGCACATTACTAACAGTGATAATCTAAAGTGGAACTCTAATTTTGCATGATAAAATGGATCGGGACATCTAACATTTTTAAAACAAAAGCCTTGTACTGAAATCTGACCTGACTGAAGTCAAAGGGGATTCTGCCACTGACCTGTAGCGTATGAAGACTCACCGTTTGTCTATACTTTGGACCCATGGCAAATCATCATGAAACAGTCTTGCTAAGTTATACCAATAAGTATATAATTTAGAAAATATAAAAAAATTTTGTGATTTCTGGACAATTTAGAAATATTTTCACAGTTGCAAGAGAAGTTCTATGGTTTGTTTCTTGGAAATGAACATGAAAATTCTCTCATGCTGCCCGTATGTTCAACACAGCTCACCAGTGTCCTGAAACTGGGTGTCTAGTTATATGCATGTGTAATACCTTCTATATACGTAATACTGTTTTTAAGAATTATCTGGCCTCTCTGATATCAGTGAGAGTTTTCCCACTGGCTTCAGTAAGACCAGAATTTTGACTTGCATATTGTCACAGTGAAAGGGAATAACCCTTCCCAGAAGTATTTTACTAAGTATGTCATAAAACCTTCACACTGAAGGCACACAGAACATGCATCTGTTTAAAAAACACAAAACACTTATAGAATCGTAGAATGGTTAGGATTGGAAGGGACCTCAAAGATCATCTAGTTCCAACCCCCCTGCCATGGACAGGGACACCCTCCACTACACCAAGTTGCCCAAAGCCTCATCCAACCTGGCCTTGAACACTTCCAGGGATGGGGCAGCCACAGCTTCTCTGGGCAACCTGTTCCAGTGCCTCACCACCCTCAGAGTGAAAAATTTCTTCCTTATATCTAATAGAAATCTGCCCTCTTTCGGTTTAAAGCTATTGCCCCTTGTCCTATCACTACACGCCCTTGTAAAAAGTCCCTCTCCAGCTTTCCTGTAGGCCCCCTTTAAGTACTGGAAGGCTGCTATAAGATCATCCCGGAGCCTTCTCTTCTCCAGGCTGAACAGCTCCAACTCTCTCAGCCTGTCTTCATAGAGAGAGGTGCTCCAGCCCTCGGATCACTTTTGTGGCCTTCTCTGGACCCACTCCAACTCCTTCTTGTGTTGAGGACTCCAGAGCTGAACGCAGTATTCCAGGTGGGGTCTCACGAGAGCAGAGTAGAGGGGCAGAATCCCCTCCCTCAACCTGCTGGCCACGCTTCTTTTGATGCAGCCCAGGATACGATTTGCTTTCTGGGCTGCCAGCGCACATTGGCGGCTCATGTTGAGCTTCTCATCCACCAGTACTCCCAAGTCCTTTTCCTCAGGGCTTATCTATGGAAATATTCCTTTACCTACAGACTGTATACTGAAAGCCTTAACATTTAAACTAGTCTCTTACAAAATTGTTCCATGAAAGTCATTCACCCATTTTTAAATGCTTACAGCACAGCAGTATAAAGTATTTTGTGTGTGTCTTGGAACATTTTTCTGAGGATTATAGCTTTTCTATTCAGATGCTCTCCTGAACAGTCTTTGAAGTAAAGACTTTAAGTATGTATCAAACACTTTCATTTTTCATATAGTTCTGTTAATGTTACTAATTGTGAGTAAAGTATATTGTAATAACTGGCCATGAGAGGAAAATAAAACTATAGAAACAGATTCTTTGTTTGCTTTATCCTCTGAGAAGCATTATTAATTTGTAATTGAGTGACTCTGAATTTACAACTTGTCTGATTAATGCAGGCATATGGCACTTTGAATTTCAACTGTTTAGAATGTCTTTCTAGAAGCATTTAAAATTGTTAAATTGTATTTAATATGTTCTTCCTTTTCTCTGCTTGTTGTGCAGTTTATTCCTATGCCAGTACTTTATGGAGTATTTCTTTACATGGGTGCTTCGTCTCTAAAGGGAATCCAGGTAAAATGGATTTATGAAGTGTGTTACTGATGATGCTGTCTATGAAATGTGTAGCTATTCTTATTATATTATTTTATTATCTTTTATGTATAATCTTAAAGAAATGTTGCCAACCTCAAATTCTTGAAAGTGACTCACTTAAAAAGGAAAATGGATTCTTTCTAAATAGAGTATTCCCTTTACGTAATGTGCTCCAATTTTTTATTTGTTAGGTGCTGATTTTTCTGTTCTCCCTTGTTATCAAGGGAATTTTGGCTGAGCCTAAAAACTGGGCAACAACTATCAGGATCTCTTTCCTCTCCCCTGCCTTCCTGTTCACTTGCTTGCCTGATGCCTCTTCAGCATCCACAAGTTAGTGCCTTTGTAGTGGTACACTTGATCTTGAACTTTGCCCATATGAGGCTTTTGGCTGACTAACACAGGTGAAATTTTGAAGGTATTTCCTGCACAAATAAATGCCCCAAGCAGGAAAGTGGAACTGTTGCAAGTCCCATGCCACTTAATTTCTGGCCTCAGAGATCAAGGACAAGTCTAGTGGAAGGGCAGCATTCCTGATGTGGCCTTAAGTAGGAGCCCCTGGCAGAAGCCAGGCACTCCAGCATTCAGGTCAAGGTTGCTAATGGTATCTGATGTCCTATTTCTCCTGGATGACTGCAGTGTTAAATGGCATAGTGTCAAATCTTTTAGCCTATCTAAACACTCAAGACTCAGATTTTCAAGTGTGCCTTTGTTATCGAAAGCTAAGGTATTGATACACCTTCCAAGACAATTGAGAAAGAACAATTTTTTTTTTTTTTACAAAGAACATGTTTTTTTTTGACAAAAATTTGACTTACACTGTGCAAAAGGTTGTCAAATATAAAGAACAAAGAAAATGCCTGATTGTGTCTTGCATTATATTTAAATTTTTGATTGTGAGTTAAAAACATCTTGTTCTTTTTACCTATTATTTATAGGCAAAGGTGGCAACATCTCTTGATTTTTGACTGGTGTTTTCTATTCAGAAACTCTTCTTTTATAACTTTGCCTAGTTTTTACCATTCGGGTTGATATTCTAAGTAGTATAATTTGGCTTTTACTGAGGTTTAGATAATTTCAACTTAATATGGTTCAGCTGTTTCTCAGAACAAGGGTATGAGAAAGTACACTGTTGAGGAGTGTTTTTAAAGGCATGCTAAAATCTGGCTATCTTTACTTGGAAAAGTGATAGCATCCCCCTCCCTTTCTCCCTCCCCCAAGCTGGGACAAGGAATTGAGATTTGATAAGATGGCTTTTGTGGGAGGATGTGCTTTTTGCCATTTCTGTGAAAAAGAAATCTGCTCAAATCTGGCCAAATTATAAGCCTTTTAAAAATGCAGTTTGCACATGCTCAATAAAAATTCCTGAAACTTGAAATTCCTGAAGACTGTGTGAATATAGTATGGCTCATCCCTGCAGGGTGCATCACCATCATCACTGTGCAGCTGATAAAAGTCTCAGGTCAAACAGGTCTGAAAACCAAGAACCTCTCATGTACATTCCTAACAGCATGGCAGTTGGCTTTCTGGCTGGCCTTTTTTTTTTTTGTATTCCTGAAGAAAGTGCAATAGGGAAAAGAAAACAGCCTGGAATAAAGTGTCTGGCGAAGTAAACTGGGAAAAATAAAATGGAGTTTCATCCACAGGAGATAAAAGACCGAAGATATCCCTCCATGACCAGCTTTTTGTGTGCTGAAGGAAGCAGAGCTCAGTTGTTAAAAACCAGGAGTTTAGAATGTATTAGAAAGGCATGTGATAGTGTGTATGTGCAACAGGATCAATCTGCTTCCATGCAGTTTGATTCCCAGTTGATTCATGTCTACTTTGAAGTCCGGCTTTGCCTAACTTTAAGAGTTCATCACTTGAAATCTTAGTAGTAGTATTTTAAAGTAACTCTTTTTTTTTGTGTATAACATATTATGCAGTTATGAGCAGGATGTTTCCTGCAGAACGACTATACAGAATGTAATTCAGAGGAATCCATTATCTCAGCGCATCTGCAATAGAAATACCTGGGGAGACACGTGTATTGAAATGGAAAGGAACTTAAGAAGCGTGACTAACTAAATAATTAAACTTAAATAATGTGAGTCTCATTCTTACTCTGCTGGCTCAACTGGAGAGATGAGTCCTTTACCACCATTGGACTAGTATAGGTTCATGGGTCGTGATTGTAACTGAGGTAGTCTTTTTCTGTGCTCCTGAACTTCTGCACAGTTTTTGCCTTTAGAACAACAAGCCAGATTCTTAACGATATTCAGAATCTCTGAGGCAGTGTGTGAATGTCAGCATAGATGATCCTACAGCTCATTTTTGTTGCAAACTTTTTAAAATTTCTCTTTCAGCTTTTTGACAGGATAAAGTTATTCTGGATGCCTGCAAAGCATCAACCAGATTTTATTTATCTGAGGCATGTTCCTCTTAGAAAGGTCCATCTCTTCACTGTAATTCAGCTGAGTTGTCTTGTGCTTCTGTGGATTATAAAGGTTTCAAGAGCTGCCATTGTCTTTCCTATGATGGTAATGAAATATTTTTTATTTCCTCTAAAAATCCCTTTTCTCTTCACTTGTGGATAATTAGTATTGAAGAAATAAATTAATTGTGGGCATTTAGTTAGAATATTGCATTGATTCAATGTTCAAGGACAATCCATACTATATTAAGTAAGGAAGAATTCTACATATAACCTCTAGTTTGAGTCAAGGTTGCATGCTGTTTATATGTGTGAGTAGCCCAACTGTATATTCTCTTACGGAAAACTCTTCTCGTAAAAAAAAAAAAAAAAAAAGCAAAATTTATTTGATATTTTTAGTTAAGGAGTAGTGTTTAATCATTTTACAGAAAGAACATTCACTGATTAAGTTCATTGCACTGAGGAACTTTTCTGATAGTTATGTGTCTTGCTGGAAATAAAAGAAAAATCTGTTGTGCTGCTTAAGTGATTTCTCTCTGATTATTTCACTGACTGCAGACAAAAGATACCTACCTCAGGTAGATTGTTAAATGCTTACAGCCATACCTCACCTGAGTGAAGGCAGACCAGCTGTTGGCCTGTCCAAATTAAAGACTAACATTCTAGCTGTAAATTTTTGAAAGTATTCCTCTGCAAGCATATTTGTCAGTTTTACTTGTGCAATTTCCTAATTCTTTGAATTAATATCTTTACAGGTCCTAGCTTTGGTATTTGTCCGAAAACTCATGGATTTCTTTTTTACTAAGCGGGAGCTCAGTTGGTTAGATGATTTGATGCCCGAGAGCAAGAAAAAGAAGCTGGAAGATGCTGAGAAAGAGGTGGGTCAGGGTTTCAGGGTTTTTTTGGTGTGTAGCATGTTATCAATTTCTCCTTCAGACAATTTGGAGAAAATCCTGTAAATAAGGCATGTTCCATGCAACAGGCAGACTTGTTAACAGTATACAAACTGTAATATTTTCATATTTTACAGAAGTCCTTTTAAGGTTACAAATCTAATAGGCTTAGATGTCTGTTAGATGTAGATTCTTATGCTGCCATACTGTCATATAACAGTATGTACGGTGCTCCTGGGGTTGCTCCCGAGGCTCGCTCAGATAATATGCAGGGATGAAGCTGTGTCTGTAGGAAAGCCCTCAGGTGCTTGGGGCAATTTGATGCTGCATTGGGACAGGTCTTGCCCCTGCCGGAGATGCTGAGGAGAGCACTGCAGCATTCAAGGGGCATGGCATGTCCCAGCTACGTACATAGGTCACACACCATCACCTTGTGCCCTCCTTGCTCAGCAGTGTCTCAACTCTGTGCAGTATCCCTCTTTACACTCTGAGCCAGCATTTTCCTTCTGCTACTGCAATGTACTTCCACTTTCTAATAAAAAGGTCAGTGACACTGCTTACCCCTGTTAACTAAGTCCTCAGACTTTTACTTACAGTCTGTGACACAGGGCACTACCACCCAGTTGACTCTTTCAAATCTGGACTCCTCATCTCCGTTCAAAATGCATTTCAGATAATTTCTTGTAAACTTGATACAGGACAGATTCTTATACATTTTCACTCAGAATGTTCCTATATTTGACAGTGAAACACGTATCTCCCTAATTGCATATTTCTAACCAGTTTTGCATCTGTTTGATAGCATTTTCATCTAGCTGCTGCTTCATCAACTGTTTGTTTGAATACCGTATAAAACTGTGGGGATATAAAGTAACTTATGTGTAAGGGATGGAGGTCTTTGTCCCTGATATCAGCCACCTGATCAATGTCAGCTGTTAGAGAACATCAGTACTGGGCCCAAATAAATGAGGGACAATTCTCAATGGAGAAAGACTAACTGCAGGAGCAGTAGGTAGAGTGTGTTGGTGCCAGATCATTTTAAATGAGAGTCGTGTGTCCTGTGTCAGCACTTTAGAGTAGTAAGTAGCCTGGTGTGAGGCTGTGACGGCAGTGGGAGGTGAAGGTGCAGATGATGCCACGTGTTCTTGGCAGGCTGTGGTCACTTCTGGGCAGGAGTACTCTGGGGACAGTTGTTCATATGACCTCTAAGATGCCCTGAAGACCTCTGCCCAGCACCCATGAGACATAACCTTTTGGTGGTGCAAGGGTACTGCAAAAACTAGACAATGTGAATAGATAAATCAGCAATTATCCTTAGAGATGCCCTGAGATGTGATCTGAGACCAGTGAAATGGTGTGTGTAAGGATTCCCGTTGGTAAGGCTGTTTGCAGAAATAGGACATGAGCTAATTTGAACACCTAACTATGAAAACTAGGCTTCTCTGCCTTTAGGATTCTTCTGTGACCTTTGATAACTCACTGCCTCATCTGTAACCTGGAGAACTGTAACTTTCCTTTCTTTGACACATTCGACATACTTCCACAGAATACGTTTTGGGGAAAAGGTTTTCCCTAGGTGATAAACTTCATGATGATTATTTACTATTTAGTATGTGTCTGTAAAACTACAGGCTGAAATTAAAATACGTGAGTCATTGTTTTCCCCCTTGAATCAAAGCAGACCAGAGAGTTGTTTCATCACAGTGTCTGTTGTCATCACAATTCAGAGTAACCAAAAGTAACCAAGGTAGTCCTCTTGTGGGTCTGATTGTTGGAAAGAGTTCCTTGTTATCCTTGTGTTTTGGTTATATGTCACTTTCCTTCCCATGCATGATAGGATGGCAAGAGAAAACAAAACTGGGAAAATCTACTGGTGTTACTTTATTTCATTCACTGTCTATTTTGAGAGGTTATTTTTACATATTTTGGCATTTCTAAATATTTGGAGCTATTATTAAAACTGTTCAACTGTCAAAAACTTATGAAGCTGTGAAGCCTGGAAATGACAAAATTAACTAGTAATAAAACTTCTGACATGTAGCCTAAGGAATTAATTGGAGAGTTGCTATCACACGGCTTTTAAAAATAGAAGTATTCTACCCACAAGAATATTCAGAAATATAGTTGACAAGATCTGAAACTTATTTGATTGGATCCTAATTTCATCACTTCAGTTGTTTTTATATTTTTAGGCCATGTTTTTCCAAGGCTTTGTGCATTTATAGTGGGTATTATGTATGCCTTCTTCTCACAGAGACCTTCTTTGGGAGCCACTTCGATGTTAATCAATTAAGTCTTTCTGAGACGGGAATGAACAAAGTGACTTCTCCCATTCGGAGAAAAAAATGTGACTTTTAAAATAGTTATAATAGTAAAACATAGAAGAAACAAATTTCTATGCAGAGAAGACTTAAATTCTACTGGTTTGGAAAATTGTACTGGCTCTTCCAGCTAATACCAACTGATCCATGTGTGATGCACGTGGGGTTTTGGGTGATCTGCCAGAAAATCGTAAGCTCTTTTTGGGAGAGCCAACTCAGCTTTTGAACAGGCACCACAGTAAACTGTTACAAAGCCATCTAATAAAGGGAAGAAAGACGTGGAGGTCTCTGGGCGTCTGTTATGCTCATACACACACAGTGCAACCGTTCAGGGCAGGATTTGGTGGTTATAGTCGTGTGAAGGCATGTTAACCTCCTGGCTGTGGTTTTCCTGACCTAACAGAGGTGTGAGCCTTGAGAATCCTCCTGTGGAGCCTTGAGCTGATGTCTGAGAGACAGAGACTTGTTTTCCTTTGTCCTTGCAGGCAGGACATGGTGTTGAGGGGTGTTGTTTTGTTCTCCCCTCCCCCTAAGATAGATTTTTCTAAATTTGTAAATATTTGACTAAAAGATTTTTGGCAGATACATCTTCTAGTTCTCTTCACTTCCTGTTATTCACAGAAGTTTCTCCCCTGTTCAAGTGAAAACTAATTCTGGTGTCTTGTTTCACAACCTTTCACTACAATAAAACTTTATCAGTATTAAAATGGTGTGTGCAAACTTGACTTCCTAATTTTTGCATGTTAACGTTGCAATGTATATATCCTTTTATGTATGATATTTAAAATTCATCGCACAGTTGCTCACTCAGTGTTATTAGTTTTTCTTTCTTTATTGTTACAAAAGTGTCTCCTCTATTTGGCATTGAAAAATTAAGTGATGATACATTTTTTAAAATAGAGGATTTTAAATGTCAAATATTTAAATAAAAAAGAGTTGAAAAGTATCTTAAAGAACTTCACATAAACACTTAATATTAAAGAAAAGGGGAAGAAGGATTAAAGCGTGTAAACTTCATTTTTCACAACATCATATCTTGTCTCATGTCTAAATTCTTTCCTTCTAGGAAGAGCAAAGTATGTTAGCAATGGAAGAGGAAGGGACTGTTCAGTTACCGCTAGAAGGACATTACAGGTAAAATATACCTTTCCTCTTTTAGGTGAGTTGCAATTAAACAAATAAAATAAACATGCCACAATATTTGTTCTTAATGCTTACTGAATGTCAAGAGGATGTTTGTCTGGTAGTAGAGTACAGATAGGTGAACTGAACCATCTACTGCAGCATTTAACAAGCTCAGCCCTTTTCTAGTCTTTCTACATGATTTCACAGTCCCGAGGAAGAGGACACACTCGAAGTTTTCCCATGAGCAGGACTGCAGGATCAGGCCATTCATAATGAACCTTGTCTTCTGACATGCACAGTACAAAAAGATGATGTAGAGCAGGTCAAACCCTTTATCCTGATGCTAGCAGGGAGCCAGGAAAGGTTTTGAACACACCCCAGAAAAACTAGGTTCTCGGAGTATTACATTTTAAAACATTCTAGTTAAGATCCTGTCTGTGTGAGGTAATAAGTGAATTGAGAGCTGTCCAGGGCAGACAAGGCATAATGCAGGGTTGACACAATGTAAGCAAGAAAACCTACGTCATAGACAGTAATAATACACGTGGCCAGCCCATAAGGACTCTCATTTACAGTTTTCAGAAAGTTAGTTCTTAATGAAGATTTGAAGTATCAGCTGATAGTAAACTCTGCATTAATGTTGAGCTCATAGGAACACTACCTCAGTGTGGCCTCCTCTTACATTTTGACATGAAGTTACCCTAATGTCTCCTAAGGCAAACGTTCAGCCTGTGTCCCTGAAAAATCCCAGCCTATTTCTTACTTTTGGTTCATTACACTTTCATAGATTTCTAGATTTCTAGGTTGGAAAAGACCTTAGAAATCATCGAGTCCAACCATCCCTAATCCCTATTAAACCATATCCTCAAGTAGATATTAGATTAGTAGACTTCTAATGGTCTGTTTTTTTCTTCTTTTGTCCAGACCTTTTTGTTCTATTTTATATCAGTAATAATTAGCCTAATTTATCTTGAGGTGTGATCTATATTGATCAATAGTGTGTTTGCTTGGGTAGAGCTGCCTGGGTAATACCCGACTTTCTGTACTCTAAGGGTAAGAGTCAACACGTTGGTCGATAAAGTGGTTCCCCAAACCACTGTGAAAACAGGTTTACTAAGGGCTTACTGAATGTCAAGCCATAGGTAAACCATGAAGTCAGGAACAATATACAGGCAGGCCCCAAAACATTTAAGACTTTATTATTCCAAAGTGGATAAATACATATTTGGAGCAGTCCAGGTAAAGCTAAGGGCATAATGGCTACAAAGTGCGGCTTAAAGCTACTGGTCAGCTTGTTTACTTGGGGCACTTTTATCAGATCTCTTGAATCTTTGACTTTGTCAAGGTTTTTGATTGCTTTTGAAATTGTTTTAAAAGCAGGTGGAGTTTCAAAACGGTAAGTACTTTGAGAACCATTAGGAACTCCTAGGATTCTTGTTTAATCCAACTGTGCCACTGGCATGCTGTGAGATCTTGAGCAATATTTAATTTCGCAGTTCCTCATTTTTCTCTGTTTGTTAGTTGGACGCGAAACTGTATTTTATTGATGTTACTGTGATTAATTGCTGTTGGAGGAGGGAAATGCTAAAAAAGTGCTGCCATGTTTTAAGAATACTTATGTCGTCGTTCAGGATTTTTGAAGTTTAACATAATTTCTTAACTTACATTGCACTTACTGTCATCACTATCAGTTTTCAAGGACTTTTGTAGAGCTAATAAGTAACAAAGACTGACTGCTCGTTGTTTTATTGTGCATTTACTTTTTTTCTTGCCTAGAGATGACCCATCTGTGATAAACATTTCTGATGAAATGGCAAAAACTGCTGTGTGGAAGACATTGTTGATATCGTCAGAGAATGCAAAAGATAAGGAGTCAAGCTTTCCTTCTAAAAGGTTTTAATTTTTTTTTACTACACTATGCTTTAGATATTGGTGTCAAACCAATATTAAAATACTTTGCTAGGGATTAGAAAGATTTCTAGCATCTTGCAGTTTTAATTCTTGAGGTTTCCTTTTATTTATATCCAGTCATAATATTATGAGCTCAAACCAAAATTCACCATGTACATTTATCTAAAAAAATCACAAGTATTTGCACGCTACTTAGTTATGCTACAGTGGAAAATGAAGTTGAGCATGCCTGATGCTTGTGTAATGAACCACCAACCAACACCTGGATATTGCACAACAGCTGTTGTGTTTGTTCTGCTTGCTTTTGTTCTTTCCTCTTGAAAAAGAAGTGGTCATCACTGCCCTGGAAATATCTATATGAAGAACCCAGTACTCTGAATGCAATCTACTAATATTTGGAGTGAAAATAATTTTAAGATTCCATCACTTCTTTCCATTTTTCTGCCTACTTCACTTGTACTCAAAACAGTTAAATACTTTTAAATTTTAGCCCAGACAAAGGTAAAATGAAGCAATGGTTTTATCTGTGCTACAGAGTTATTATGGGAATAAAAAAATAATAAATACAAGCACCGTGTGACTGTAGGAGAGATTTTCCTCTGTTTCCACAAATTTTAAATTTAACTATTTTCTACTTAATTGTTTTATATCACATTTTTGTCATAAGCTCCCCTTCCTTATCACTCTAGAAGCTGATTCCCCAAAGGTAAGACCCTCTCCCCCAACCTTTCGCTTGATTGTATCTTCCAATTCAAAGTGGGTGTCACCTAGAAACCCAAATGACTTGATTTTGTGTAAGTTTTGGGGAGACAGAATGAAAAGAAATTTCAAATAGGAATGTAAAATGCCTTCATCAAAGTCCTTCATATTAAAATTTGAAATTTATTGTGTATTAAAAATAGAAGCTGTAGATGTAGTATATTTAAAAGTTAAAATGAATTTATGCCTCTATTTTTTTCATGAATTCTTTGACTTTTTTGAAATACAAAATTATACTCTGCCCATTTCTAAATCTAACTTTCAAAACAAGCTCCATGTTTGAAACGGGTGGTCATTGTTTTATGGTGAAAAGATGCAGTAAGAGAAAAAATTTTGTCGTGAAAAATATTTTTTAATTTTGTCACCCCAAAATGGCATGCTGCCTTTCAGTGTTGTTCCTTTCCCTAAACGGTATAAACAAGATACAGTTGATGACCAGAGAATCTTCATTTCGGCCACCCATGGAGCAGCCCACTAATGCGATCATTTCAGTGCTATTTCACTGACTGTCAAAATAGCAGTGCAGTTCTGATTTGCTGAAAAGGATCCTGTCACAGTGGCTTCAGTGTGGTTCATGGGAGAAGGATGTACAGCAGGGTCTTCTTACCTTATGTGCCTCTGCTGTCCAGGCTGTGAAAGCCTGGAGAAGAGAAGAAACTCGTGGTACATTCACAGCCACTGGGAATGCAGTAGTTGTAATTTTTCTGGTGGGTGTTCCTTTCTTTGATGGTACGATACATTATGTGAACACGTACTGTTTTTACCTGAAATTTTCACAGACCTTTTGAACAAAGAGCATCCACATAAACTGTGGCTCAGACAACCTTGGTAAAAGATGATTTGGCCTTTCCACTGCAGTAAAACAGAAACTCATTGTGTAATGAGCGCATTTTAAATCTGTTCGCTTATCTTTGCTTATGAAAAGAAAAACTCAGGTGACAAGGAACTACTGGATCACAGCTTTTATGGTTTTAGGTGTGAGTGTCCTGTTGTAAAGGAACAACGTCTTAAAGAATCTGAAATCCTCCTTTTTCATGTGCTGTAGCTTGTCTGAGATTCTCAGACAGAATTTGATTCAAAGAACTTTAAACCTGGCAGGCTTGCTTTCTGATAAGCAAAATCATAGATAACACTAAGCTTAAATCATATTCCTAAATGCATGTATCATTACCTGAAGATATAATTCAATCCTAGGCAAGGACGGCGCAAAAAGCAAGCTTGGAATGGTAGCAGGCGTAAGAATAATTTTTGCAAACGGTCAAGATCACCAGTATTACATTTCAGTTCCCTTCAGTGAAGGGTATCTTACCATAGGGGGGAAAAATCATGTTGTTTTGAAATTAATTTTACTGATGCCTTTTGAAGTTCAACTACAAAGTGTTTAGTACCCCTTTTCCTGTTGTCAGGTCTACTTTCTTATACTGATATCCCAGAATATTATTAAATGGGGATAATTAAATTATGATACTGTACTATGATTTCATGGAATGACTTTTACATAAGGCACTGATCAATTAACAACGTAGGATGATTTCTGGAATACATAAAATCTGGAAGTTCTTCGTACGAATTAAATACTGAGTTGACTTGGCCAATGAAAGACTGGCCAGTAATTAACTTAAGATCATCTCCAAAGAGAGATTTCAGGCAGGAAGTGTTTATACAAGCAACTTCTCAGCCTGATGCATGGATAATATCCATCGTAATCTCTGCACTGCCCCTGGCTCTGTGAAGTAGTATAGTGTGTGAGTTCTTACATCCCAGACTTATAACAGTATTTAAGTGTCTGAAGAGGGGACTTAAAGGAGATTTACTCAGTCAACTGTTGCCTAACCATAGAGGCAACTGAACTTTACAATTTTCCAACCTTAACTTTTCATTATTAAAATGTGTTCCGACCTGAAGGTCTGCATTTGAGCCTGTCTTGGTAGAACTGAACTCCAAGGCACCTATCTGAAACACAGCCCTCTTTGGTACGTGTAATTAGATATTCCTCTGTCTTTGCTTTTAGAATTAAGCCCTTCAGATAGCAATTTCAAAACATATGCAGAAGATCTGACTGTGTATAGAAGGTAGCCCTAGATGGTCTTTTAAAGTATTGGAAAAAGAAGCGTCTGTCACTTTGTAAATGTAGATCTGTACCCAAAGATAAGCAAATCCTGCACCTCAGACCTTCCTTCTCAGACTTGTTAGACTACTCCCTTGGTAGGGAGGAAGAGAGCTCCAAGTCCTTTACAGATGCACCAGTTATGTGTTTTAGTGGTAAAAGACCGGACTTGTCATTTTTTTTTCAAATTTCTCAAGGCATTAAAGCCCACATCTGCAGGAGATGCTCAGAGATGTGAATCCTAAGTAGAAGGAAGACTTTCCTGGTATCACAGAGGCACCTAAAACGTGGAAATATTATAGACTGTAAGGCACACAACACATCCTCAGTGTTTGCTTTTACTAAGCACAGGTAAAGCACTGCTGTACTGCTGCACTTTTAAGTTCACCCCCCCAGGAATTTGTTTGCATACCCTTTGTGTGCAGAAAGTGTAACATACCCAATTCTATCACTGCTCTACAGAAGGTGACAGATTTGGCAGTTGAAGTGGCAGAAGTTGGTATTCTTTAGTTATTTCCATTAACACCTCTGGAACCTGCCGCAGGCACAGAAGCAAGCTTTGGCTGAACTCAATTGTATTCTTAAAGCAATTTTTATGTGAAGAAAAAAGTCAGACGATATTGTAAAATTGTGCATGAATCACCCTAAGAATTTGAGAATTAATCTTGTTTTCTTCAAGCCTTGTGTAACAGCTATTTCTCATTCATTCTAGTTAAGGAATTATTCCCATGAAACCTGGTAGGTTATGTGCTTGATACAGGTTTGTTCTCAGAACCATCTTTTTTTTAGATACTCTGCCGCTCCTTGTTGAAGGCTTGATTTGCCTGTGTTGTGGAAGCCTATGTGCATTTTTGTAGTGTGACTGAAACTCATTGCAAGAACGTGACTTTTTATTTATTTACGCTGTTGTAAATTAGGACCCTCTTCCCCAAAAAATCATCTGCTTTGCACATATATTGCTTTCTGTAGGCAAATCAACAGTGTTTTAACTGGAAAAAAGCTGAATCCAAGTTCTTAGTGGTATGGCTTTATTATGATCTTTCAGTTGTGTGGGTTTTGTTTCTTTTTTTTTTTTTAAAGTTATTTTCTTATAATGTATACATGAGGAAGTATGTATTAAGCTCCAAATGGGGATTGTTGTCGCTCCTCACGCCCTCAGCCTTCTCCAGCTCTCCCCAGTCAAGACCTAAAGCCAAATACTACAGTTGGAAATTGGCTTGCACTGCCCTAGTTCAGAAACATTCCTTTTAAATGTATGTTGAGCAACAGAATATGTTTTAAAGACAAGAAATACTTATTTTGACCTCTTGTTTGTGCCATTTAAGAAAATGCTGGTATTGTCTGAGCACTGTACCATTACCATTATTTAATCAATTAACAGTTGTATCTGACCCCCCCTCCAAAAAAAAAGTGGCTATCTTTGCTTGCATGCTGGCTGACTTGTCTGTCTGTACATTTTAAGTTCTCTACCTGCTTCGTCACTAAAATGCTGACTGATGTCTTCTGCACCATTCAGCATAGAAACATTCACTTGCTTCCTGGTTTGTGCTATGCAGCATGAAAAATTAATTAAAATACCAGTGCCATGTTGGTTTTCAGGTAGATAATTAATATATATGGTAGTGCTGCCATAACTCTCTTTTCTTTCTTCTTTTCCTAGTGCTGAAATCAGAAAAGAGAAGAAAGCTGACTCAGGGAAAGGTGTTGACCGGGAGACTTGTCTATGACTTGTTCTTCAATTAATTTTTTTACAAACGAATGAAAGGAGTGCCACAACACTAAATATAAATGATTTGACCTTGTAACTTTTGTCTTTCATCTCAAACTAGCACAGGTAATGTAGTGCAATATTTGTCTCATTTCACCTTGTCTAAATGTCTATGTTGTCTAGTACCTGTGTAAAAGTCTGCAGTAGCCAATGCAAAAAATCTTCCTGTTCTTTGCTGACATAGGCCATTTATCAGTATTCATATATAAATTTAACAAGCAAAATTTCTTTCAAATTCAGTTTTTCTGTTAATAGGTTTGTATTGTATTTTGCTACTTCATCTGTGTGAGAATACTTAATAATCTTCATTCAAGATGAACTTGAAAACTTGTTTTTTTTTTGTAAAATCACCTAACTCGAGTAAATGATTTCAGGAGACCCAAACTGACAAGCAAACATTCAAGAAGTTTTTAAAGTAAAAACTGATTTGACCCTGTGAACAAACTAACACGGATAATCCTTTCTTCCTCAAGCTGTCCTTTTGAAATCATGGATTACTCTTGCAATGAGGATTGCAGGGTCAGATTCTGTATTTGTGAAGTTTTCCTTGATTTAGTACAGTGTATTTAATATTCAAATTTGTATGTAACTGGAACATAGTCATATATATTAAAATATATATTAAAATTATATATGAAAACATTATTTCACCTTAGTTGAAAAACAATACCACATCCTTTGATGTGAAACATGTGTACGGTATTTCTTAAAATGCAACCTGTGATTACAGTATCTTATCTTGGATTGTATGAATGTTGCCGTGGCAGGAAAACAGCTGCATTATGTCATTAATCAATCCATTATTTTATAATAGGGAAAATTTTGTAGATACAAACTATGCCCCACATAGAGTTATATCACCTGCCCAATGATTTTCCTTTTATTGCCTAAAATCAGCCACATAAAGGGCGTATTTATATTCTCCTCTCTCTACTAACAACTGTAAACCTCTTCATTTCAGAGATTAATTGTGTATAATACTTAAACGGGTATCCTGCTGTTGGTTTTGTTACAGCTCTTCACTATTCCATCAAGTACCTATTGATTAAAAGATAAAAACAACATTGCAAAGTAAAATGTGGCTTTAAAGCTATCACAAAGACATTTTTCGTAATGGATATTGTTACTGCCTGATCCTTGAAGCTGTTCTTTTGTGTAAAACAAGGACTGCGAGATTAGGTATTGAATTAATAAAGAAGTGGAGCAAAAGTTTTATTGCATTATTTGGAATTCAGTGATTTTTAAATTTTTTTAAGATAAATTTTTAAATTATTAAATGAAAGCTAACTCTCATTATTATGCTATTGCTTCGAATCCTACAAATAAGAATTACAGTCTTGTAATCTTTATAACAACTCCTCTACAGGGCTTTAACATTCCCCAGCTTTCTAAAATGTGATAACGTTTCCACAGACGTCATGTGAACAACTTTTCATATCCAGCACATTTTGAAGTATTCCTTCTGAGGTTTTTCTGTGTGTGAGTGTGTATGGTTTACTACTTTAGCCATAAATGATAATTGCATTTTGCTGCAAACTAATAGGGTCACTGTTCTAAATTTGACTTAGTGTTATCAAAGCCCATTAAAGGCCATTTTTATGGAGAAAAAAAAATTCTAATGGACACAAAGAACGATTTACATTTAATTTAATGTTTGTATTTGTAAATTTAGGAAAAAAATGCTGATGCATTAAAGTTTAATGCTTTGTTTTGTGTACTTGATGATAAATTGTAAGATTCCAATTGTTTTAAGGTTAGTATAGAAATTCAATACTGGTTTGTCCGGAAAGCAGCCTGGTGGTGTTTTAAGATGTTGCTGACTTTGTTACAGATAATGTATACAATCAAAATGTACTAGTTTCACTTGACCAACTCTTAGGATATTAAGAAATCAGTGTATTCAATGGCATTCTGTATTTCTGTTCAGTATTTCAGAGTGGCTTTATTTTAAAACAGTCACTCTGTTCTTGTGTGAATTTAAATGCTATTCCAATGTTAATCTTAACATTCTGAAATCACACACAATATAAAGCAAATGTAGTGCTATATTTACTTCTAATTTCATATTCCTGGTCAAAATTACTCAATTTCTTGGATGTAATTTATTACAAAAGTTTATGTGTACATGTGAATAGACTATTGTGTTTTTCACAATTAAGAAATGTTATGTGAAAATAAATATTTATCCTAACTAATTTTCAATTTTCTTTTTACACTACAAAACCTAGAATGAGTATGCAATATGGTACGAAATGTCTACCTGACATGTGAAGATGCTTCACAAACTCATGAACTGTAGAGCCCAGTCTTGCTCCGTTTCTGGGTGGAATCTCAATGAAACAGGCAATGCTCTCAGTGTTGGCTGGCTGTGTGTGATTGATGGCAGCATATTTGGTCTGACTCTAACAGTAAGTGTGCTGTTGGGGAAGGCACATAACTGACCTGTTCCTGGAAGAAAGCGGGAATTACATTCTGATTTACTGATCACGAGTTGTTCCCCTTGCTCCTGACAGAGATGATGCAGACCAGGCAGCAGTAGTTGGGTCTTTTTACAGATCAATAGGTAAGGTCATACAATTTAAAATTCTTCAATGCTACAATATTTATAGTGTCTAGTAGTTGAACAGAGGCTTAGCCTACTGCCTATTGTGGGAGCTTCTGCTGTTCAGGACCCTACACTTCTGCTGTTCAGGACCCTACACTTCTGCTACTGAAAAAATTTTAGGCCTTCAAGCCTAGTGCTACTGCCAAAACCCCATACTTGAAGTACTGACTCCATCTTATTAAATCCCTTCCAGCTTCTTCACAAATTTTTAAAATGAAGACTGGAAGCCTCCGAGCCTGAGGAGGTTAACAGTCACCTCAGGCTCCAGCTGCTTCTGTTAGACTTTTATAAACAAAGTGTATTTTACAACAAACTTAAGTATCCATTTCACATGGAAAAAAATACAGAGGGAAAAAGGTAAGTGGCAGGTGCCTAACTAATTAGCATGTGACACTACTACAGGCACAACAAGTTCCTACTGCTGGCTTTGAACTTTAATGAAAGTCATTAAAGTCATTTTAACCTCATTCTCCCCTAATGAAATGAGGTGGCTTTCTTCTGTATTTACCTGTGCTCACGCATTCATTTAAGTTGTCAGTTCCCTGAGGCAGCTCTATTGTCCTATTGTCTGCATTGTTTTTGAAGCTGAGGGAGATCTACCAGAGAGAAAATCAGACACTAAATTAATGTTTATTAGGACGCTTACTGTAGCAATAAAATATTTTTGTTTTAAAAGTTGCATCATGCTCTAGTAGCAGCATATCTTAGAAATTGCTTTCCAGACAAAGGAATATAAGATAATTTAATTATAAGATTTAATTAATAATTTAAAACAACAAATTTAAGATAATTCAATTATACGATTTCGATTAGACGCAAGGAAGAAATTCTTCACTCTGAGGGTGGTGAGGCACTGGACCAGCTTGCCCTGAGAAGCTGTGGATGCTCCATCCCTGGAAGTGTTCAAGGCCAGGACAAGCTGCAAAATTCTCTCCCGTGCTTTATCTATCTGTATGAGTACTTCTACATTCACACCTAACGTCACTAGTAACCCGATGTCTTTCTTATTTTAAAGCAGCACAGTTTGTACTACGAGTTGGTTACATCTTTTCTAGCCATGTGAAATTAAGAAAACTAATCTTATCTTCAGATGAAGAAGCCTACCTGGAGTGCTGAAGGTAAAGCAGAAGTTTACTGGTAGGCTGCAAGGAAAAGCAGGTTTGCTAAATAGCATGTTCACATGAGAGTTACAGTCCAGCCCCTGCTTTAAGTGACTGCTAGTTTGCATTGTCGTGCTTATGTTTGAGTGCAAGGAATAGATCCTATTCATCACTAAATAGGAAACCTCTAAAACCCAGCTTTTCTGTCCCATAGAGAAACAATGGTGGGCTGCTAGAGTTCCCAGGTAAGATTTTACCAGTGCACATTCCCACAATAGCAGCCTTTTTGAGTATGAAGTAGGCAAAAATCAGAGTACTATGACAGGAAATGAAGAAATTCAGTGCCCTTGGTTTGAATAGGTATCATTCAAAATCTTTGGTGAAAGCCGGTTACATGCTTTCCTTGAAAGACTTCTACAATTGCAATCCAAGAGATTGCGGGAAAAATACTAACTCAAGGAACTGCAGTAAACTGCACAGAAAATATTAACATTGCAGTATTCCTGATATTGTTTGTAAAATAACGATCAAGCTTTACGTAATGTCTGCAAAACCTGTTCAAAGTTTTATCAGTATTTTCACAGAAATGATCACAGGGTTCATTTTATTTTTTCTTAGAAACATTATTATTTTTATTCCTCAGCTGATCTCCATGTTGGTTCCTCATTCATTACCCTAATATAGAAACTGGACTGTTTCTCTTTTAGACTGAAATATCAAAAGGTAGTGATTCAAGCAAGTACCATGCCTTCTAGAAGTCTGCAACATACCTACGTTCTGGTGATGTTAAGACCTGATTAAACACAATCAATAAAAATGCAATGGTTGCTTGGCAACAGAAATTATAAAGATTAGTATTTCATTGTGTACATAGGTATCCCAAGAGCAGCTGGCCCTTATCTCATCTTGATTCATAAAAGTTTACACTGGCTCAGTGTACGTTAGCTAGAGAGTTTTCTGGAGAAGTACCATCACTGCCAACCGAAATGCTGGTGCTAGGGCAGTGAGAAACAGTCCTTTATGAAATGGGTCATATGGGTATAAATATGCTTATGTGCTTGACCAGTGATGGAATGGTCTTTGTCGGTATACCACTGTGGGAAAGAAAAATACAGAAAATGTTAATTCTAGCTACATCTAAATAATACAAATCAAACACGACAGGCATAAAAACATGTGCAGCCATTTAACCTTATCCCAGCATGAGGCTAATCCAGCACAGAGGCAAAGACACAAGGTGGTAGGAAGCTGCTATGATACCTTCGTCCCTGTTTTTTTTCGTGTGGGATACACACCACCTATTCATGCTAAAAGTACAAAATGAATACGTGGCTTGTTCACATGGAGGGTAGATGCAGCTCCTTAGATTAGAGTGGTGCTTGATCTCTGCACCCTGTAAGCCCTGAAAGTTTGACTGAAGGACAACCATGCACTGGTGCACGTGGCTTCCTTCTACACTTCATCCTGTTCAGTGCCGCTGCCCAAGGGCTGGGAGAAGGTAGGAAAGGAACAGCTTGCACCTTAGTCTGAGAGTTCAACAGAGAAACACCAAACGAGATGGCCAGGTTATCCTGGACTTAGGATATAAGGAAAGGTTAATTTCAGCCATCTGTAAGATACTATTCATTGAACTTTGGGTATATACAAAGCTTGGGATTGGCTTGGCTGTTTGTCTGAGAAACAAAAAAATTTAACGAAATGAAAGATGAAGTAAACAGGGTCAAACACAACATTTTCATCTTGTACAGAAGGTACAGGGGTGCGTTATGTCAAAGTTTCATTTACTGAACACGAAATGCAAGTATGTGATCTTTCATTTAAGATGGCGGTTGACTTTACCTAACAACAGGGAGCTTTTGCTGTTATTCTCATAATCAAAACTCATTTGTATGATGATAAACAAAACAGAACCATACCATTGCTTGAAAATCTATTTCAGCATCAACAAGAGCTTTGGAAATCTGCGCTGATTGCTGAAAGTGAACATTATCTGAAAAGTAGAAGAAAATGAAGAAAGAGGTAAACAAAAAATTGCTTCTGAACTACTCTGGGGGAAAAGCAAAACAATGAACGCTGAAGACTCCCCAGCACTGGTGACTGAAACACAAATTAGTTGCAGAAAGCAGTATTATTTTATTGACGTAAATGTAACAGCCTTGCCCCTTCATGCTTTTGTTTTGTCAGTAGTAGAATTGCGAACCTGCCTGTAATACTAAAATGTCTAATTAACTGCAACTCACCATCTGCTGTTCCATGAATAAGGAGATATTCCACATCCTTGAATTTTTCAGCTCTGGCCATTACTGTTGAATTCTGAAATTAAAGAAAAGGGGAAAAAAAAAAAAGAAAAAAGGTGCTATTTATTAGAAGATGATTTGCTACCAACTGACTTTGATTCCTGTTGACACAGTCTGGGGTCCTTCAGATAAAAACCAACCACCCCTGCTCGCCCCTAGCCCCTGCACCTCCTAGCAGCATGGTCACGTATCTAGCAGCACTGGAAGAACGGTTCTGCACCAGTCGGCAGTTACTGCCCCCAGGGGTTACATCTGCAACGTAACAGGCGAATCCAGAGGGGCAGAGTTTTGGGAGTGAGATACTCATTTAATGCACTGCTAACACGTTGTTAGCCTGCAACACACCACTTGCCATAGGTTGGTTTCCTGTGTGACTGCAGACAAGTTAAAAAAGGTTGCCATGGCAACAGTGCACCCTATGATAGCAAAGAGTAGCTCTTGCAGAGACTACACGCATTATCTTCCCCACCAAAATGTACCCTAGTTAACCTGTAGGTAAGTCGACGGAGCTAATGTTTCATCGGTCTCAAGTAAAAGTGGCTGACAAGACGTTTACAAGACTACTCTCCCCAAAAAGAGAAATGCCTGAAGGAAACAACTACTAGACCAAATCTATAAATAGAAGTCAAGCTACATTTTGGGAATTGAAACACGATGCGGTGATGAAAAAAAATAATCAGCAACTAAGATTAATCAAGAAACTTAAAACACAGTAACAACATACTCCCTAGAACACACTAACCACCTGACTTGCTACTGTGACTAGGTACTAAAGCACGAGGAAAGTAAGGATTGCAGGTAGGATCTTTAACTTGGGCAAGGAAAGGGCATAGATAGCGCTCTGCCGTAGGAGTGGGAAAAAGAAAAGGGACAAAAGACTTCTTCCTGGGCTTCATAAGACAGCCAGCATAAGGAGGCAAAAACTCCATTTAATTCAATTTCCTCTATTAGCAACATTACAGGGGTTCTCTGCTGAATCCCTGTGGACATTTCTTCTATATACAGCAACTTAAAAGCTAGTATGGCAAAGAAAAAAATAGTAAAAATTGGGAATAAAAGAATGTGGTGTTTTATTTTTTTCTTCCCCACCTTGTTATTAAGGCTGTATCCTTGCACAGGGATTTGCGTTTAGTATCCCCAAAAAGTCAAATATATTATATTACCGAGACACGGAAGTGTTCTACTTTCCTTATGTCTCTTGTATACTCATGAATCTTTAAAGCAAGCATAAATACTAAATTCCTTTTGTCATGGCAGAATAGCATACCTCTCCTAAGTGAAAGGAGTTCTTTGTAGTTATTCAACCAAATTTAAAAAAAAAGTTCAGCAGAGGAAAAGAAAACCACCCTCCAATCCATAACACTGCAATTGCACGCTTCTGATAGTGAAAGGCTGCAGAGCACCAGAAATCCCATCTAATGTATGGAAATCCATGCACACTGGAAGCACACCACTATCCATTCAAATGAGTTGGTATCATGGAGTAAGAATAGATAGTTACGACTTTGCCAAAATCTGGAGAGAGGACTTTGATTCGGTGAGGAGCACCGGTACAGCAGCCGACAAAAAGAACGATCAGAAAGTAATGGCCCCATGACACAACAAAGAAAAAGAATGAAGCAGTGCAGCTTCTACGTGCAGAGGGAAACTTGATAGATCAGCTTTATAAGCTTTCTTGCAGCAAATGGGTGCTGGTTTAAGGGACAGCAAACCTTCTGCAACTGGAAGCCTGATTTGTGCTACACTTCTGAGAACTTGACTTTCCAAAAGCAGTTTTAGAACAAGGTTGTCACTATTTTTCTCCTCCATGCATGAAACAAAACAAAGCTATTTGTAAAATACCTCAGAAAGAAGGAACAAACAAAAGAGATTATACTTTTTTTTTTTTAATCATTTGCAAGTGGTGTCTCACTTGCTGTACCCATACTCAACATGAAGACTCCCCTCCCTAAAATGTGCTTTAAGGACACAGCACTTCTGCTGAAAAAGGAGGTTGCAAACGAGGGAGCAATCTCAAGTTAGGCACAGTTACAGCACAGAGCAACAGCTACACCAGCTGCACACACCTCAAGTGGACATCAAATAAATACAACTAAATTCACCCCTTCCCGTTCCACAGCTACACTGCCGGGACAAAGGTTCTGAAAAGGTAAAACACGCACGAGCACTGAGCCCTGCTGAGTGTAACTGGCTTTTCTAAAGATCACACAGCAGTCAACATTTTATCAGCACTCCACAAACAAGTTAAGGTTTGGCTGAAACTGAAGGTCTCTCTCCCTTTAGCATATTCTCAGATAATAGAACAAATGTCAAATCAGTACAAGATGGCATATTTACAAAATTGTACCCTGTTTTGCATAACCTAATGATGCAGCAGTTCTTAAGGACTGAACATTTCAAATCTGCTAGAAAAAGATTGCCAAATCTATGACTGTTTCAAACACTTGCCAAAAGCATATCAAATTCAGAGTGAACTGCAAAATAATTTTCTCACAAGTTGAACAGTCTCTTCGGTGTGCTTTACATGGCTACTGCATCTGACCTCTAGAGATCTGCCCTGGTTTAGTCTCAAGTCTTTTACCTCAGGGATATTTCTTCCTGGGCAGACAACTCCTCTGCCATTCCTACAGAATTAATCCTACAGAATTAGGGATCCTACAGGGAACCCTACAGAATTAATTATATTGGGAGCTCAACCCATGCTTGCTCCTTTCTTTTACAAAGCTCTAATTTTTACTAGTTCACAACTACCTTAGAAAGAACTGAGCACACCTAATCAGCCTACTTACAGGGGTGTGAGTCATCCCTCAGACTGACTCTTGACAAAGAGAAGGTAACATCTCAGCTTCTCTTCTTCCAATAAATGTGAAACCTCATGTCACAGTAATACCAAGGTGGGGTGTACCCCTCTTACCACCGCTACTCTGAGACGATGTATTCGCAGTCATTAACAACACTGTGCATTAGGAAGGCAGCGGGCAGCACACATCTTCTCCAAGCAGGTGTGCACACAGTCCTGTTGCTTTTAAACTGGGGCATACATTACAGAGCTTACGCCACCTTCCATTTTTCAAGCCAGCTTTATAATGGATGCAGTAGGATAGAGAATATATGATACAACATGCAAACCTGACGGTATGAAGTCAACAGTTCAAAAAATGCTTTAACAGCTTCAGCTAGGAGAGCTTTCAGCACACGCTTTGCATTTACTTGCTAAAAACCACTCCGTTCAGAAAACAGCTCTCATCAGTGATGAGGGGCCAGGAGGCTGCTGGGACTGGGACTCTGAACAAAGGGGCTGTAAGCCAGGAACATGCTGGGCTGAAGTCAGCAAGGGTCTTCAGCAACAACACGATCCCACAACCCTTCCATTGTTGCTACATGAAAAGCAACCAACTCACTTCTTGAGCTATGACCCCCCTGCCCCTACAGGTTTATACGGAAAGGTAAAATCCAAGTAATACATTATTTGGGGCTTTTAACAACCAGCGAGGACTTAAGTTGCATTTTGCTCTCTGTGGAAGCAGCAATGAAGTGTGACAATCTGATCTGTGCAATTGCCCCTCCTCCATCTAGCCACCATCCTCCCCAATTAGTCCTCTGAGTAACACATTTGAAACCTTTAGCTCTTTGGTACTGGCAGTTTCAACGTGGCCATTGCCAGCAATGGATACTATGCCAAGAAAATCCGACTCCTGGCTTTAAAGGATTAAACAGTCCTCTGTTGCCATCTGTGCCGTGAAGCTGGTGAATGACTTTGTGCACCCAGAGCGTTAACGTTCGTTCTGCACGACGACAGTAACTTCTATTTACACTGCTACCTCGCAGACCTCCTACTGTTCCCACTGCCTTCAAGAAACACATTTGGAAAAAGGCAGGCAGGCGGCAGCGGGCTGCCGGTCAGTGCCCGGTGGGCCTGAGCAGCTCGCTGGTTAGAAGAGGCAGAATGCAGCAGCAAGTCTTCCAGCAGTTACTACCATTGTCCTCAATTTTGACCTGAATGTCTGATACAGCAGCTGACAAAACTGGATTACTGTAGTGATATGTCAAAACAGACGTTTCAGCCCATATATGTATATATTTATGTGTTTTACCATACTTATAAATCAAGGCAACAACCCCCACCTTTCTGTGGCCCGTTTCCATGACCCTTATTATTTTAATGCATCAAGACACAGTCAGTACTGAATGGCCTTCCAGCCTATTCACCAACCCGAACACAGAGAACGCCCCATCTCTTTTCCTCTGACATCCACGTCTGGTTCCAGCATCCCCATGGCCGAACACCTCTGTGAAACATCCCCATAACCAGGCCACAAAGTACCCCTCAGATCCCTCACAGTTCTCCAGCAGCTGCTGTGTTCCACCTCGCTCTGAGATTTAAGGAAACCTCTACAGAAGGCTTGAGCTGCTCTGCCCTGTGCCCGGCGACCTGCGACTTCAAAAGCCCTTGGGGCCACAAAATGCAGCTGGCACATGGAGAGAAAGTCAAAAAATTCCTCATGCCATAACGATGACAAACAATCTTCAGGTATTTTGCTTCCATTAGAACACCTGGAAATTCCCTCATTTCTGGGCAACTATTAGTTGTTTTAGACCAAACCTTGGACACCCTGTGTTCGTGGAGATGGGGCCAGAATTCCAGCCTTGACACGGCTGGCTCTCAGTCAGTCTACAATTTCTTTGATATGATCACAGTACAGACAGACTCGCCTACCTGTTAAAGTTTCCTAATATTTAAGAGATTTTGCTTTCCCTGAAAAAAGCCTGCAGATTCCTAAAGCAAGAAAGTTAACAAAAAACCCATTTTTTTCACATTACATTTCAGAAAGAACTGGAGTACATTTGTTTTGGTGGAAATGTTGTTTAAGATAAAGCATAGTTTGCCCACGAGCATATTAAAATTTTAAAACAAATTTGTTTCTTGGTGATTATAATAAAACAGTTTTTACAGCTTGTTTTACAGTCTGCAAAGTAGCCAAATGGAACTGACTGTAAAAAACCCAAAAAAAACCCAACACACCAAACAAACAACAGAAAACCCACACCATACAGCAAGGAGTAACTGCCTCATGCAAATCCAAAGGCATGAGAATGCAGCCTCTAAAAGCACACTGCACCAGTTAGAGCTGGGAAGAAGAAACAAACTTATTTCTTCCCATGAGGAAGGATCTACACTGTATAAAGAGAAACACGACTGGTTTAGAAAAGAAACAACGCACTTCAAAAAATGAAATAAAGTGATATGTTTCTTACATTATAGTTGTTCAGGTTATCACTTGCTGTAGGAAGGCCCATGTATCGCTCCGTGTATATTGAATCTGTAATTAAAAAAAAAAACCACAACAAAACAAAACAAAAAACCAGAATACGCTATTTAATTTTCAGTCTGTCTGTCTACCAGAAATTCTACCCACTGATACAAACAATAAGAATGCATACTGGAAGTAAAAAAAAAAAAAGAAAATATAAAAACAGGTTTTCCACAATGAGGCGTGTAGGTAATCATCATTATTCAGAATATTTAATCTTCTTGTTGCCATGGACACCTGAATGCTGAATATTAATAAAGTACTTTGTGTCAATGTTACCTTATTGTTATTCTCTCAGTAATCCTAAGCAAATTACTGAAAATCTTGCAGTAAATGACTAGCATTCGAAAAAAATCTTCAGTATTTTATCTAAATGTTTACTGCTAAAAATCTCTAAAATGAAAATGTAGCAGAAGATTAGGACTCAGCTTGACGTTACATGTAGTAAAAATTAAGTATCTCTGATTTTCCACAGATTTTTCAGCATGATATCATAGTACCTTTTTTTTGCAGATTTATTTTAAGCCACACAAATCAAACCTCTGTTGCGATATTCTAATGTCCATTTGACTTCTCATCAGTATTGCCGCAATGGCTTACTTTTGATGTTGAACATGCATGCCTCCATAACCCCTTTCTTTATCTCATCAACTAAATGTGGAATTTTAAAGATCTTGATCTTTATTAAAAAAATATTTCCTGCCATACTGTAATATCCATGTCCAAAACATTATGAAAACATCCCTAGGTCCTCAACGGACTACTGGTGATATCTGGCAGTGTGATTTTCTGTTGGAATTACCCAGAGCACATGATGTGCTACTATATGGTCTCTGTGCTAGTTGCAGAATAGTAAATTATGCCTTAATTCAGCAGAGGTTTGCTAGGAAAAGCTTTCCCTTGAATGTTTTTGGACAAATCAAAACCAGAAAGATGTCAAAACGTAGTCACATTGTACCAGCATATACTATATTTTTAACTGTATATAATTTTTTTTTAATCTGGGAGGAAAGCCCCTATAACTGCATTTATAGCCTCATGCAACTGCAACCTTATATACTCTAAGCTTGAAGCACGCACAGGCATGTCCACTTGTTCAGGTTTTCCTCACATCAAGCTATTCTTAACATTAATTAAGTTTATAAAATCCAAATTTTACACTCGAAAAAAAAAACACCCCACAAAGCCAATTCAAATCCTACTTTGTTTCTTTGAGAGAGTACATTGCAATGTAAGTTCGATGTTAAGCCCCACAGTTCATTCTTATAAGTGAAGCAGCATTTTGAAGAGGCAAAGTCTAACAGCGATGGATTTCTGATGCACAATACTGGTCTCACAATACGAGGCAGCTTTGGAAAGCAGACACAGGCACGTTACAGTAATACTACAAATATTACAATAATTTAGCCTCATTAAAGGTTAAAAAGATTACCCAGAATCATGGATCTGACTTTTTAAAACAGGAAGTAAGATTTAGGGAAGCGGTTTAATTCCAAAACGCAGTACCCACAAGTTCAGGAAAACAGACCAAGTGGCATTTACATGGCATCTAGTAGATAATCAAAGTTCCACGCTATGAATCAACACTTTGCAGCATGTGCACCGCAAGACATATGGGAATCCTTGTAACGAGGAAGCCATCACATACCATAATATTGCCAACGTGACACGGGGGCAACCGCTATTCCACACTTGAACACGCCGCTTCCAGAGCCAAGCACCATGGAGGTCGCGTATCCCCCATAAGACTGAGAAGAAAACATTGCTGTTATTTTAGTCGGGAAGAAAAGGATGGGGCCCATCTGCTGAACGGTTCTTCAGACATTTATAGGCTCAGCGTTTTTCATACTAATGAACTCCGTTCGGAATTTGGGTCAGATCTCACCCAGCCTGCTCAGTGGGGGAAACGGGCATCAAACAGCGCGCGGCAGCTGCGGCGCCGAGGAAGGAGAACCTGCCGGGGGGAAAGGGCGCAAACGCCGCTGAACTGTGACTCAGCGAAGGATGACAGCGCTCGGGAGCGCCGCA